TCCTGCTTGCTTAATTTGTTGGATAACTTAGTCTTTGATGTCTTAGTGGGTGATAGTTAGGTGTGGTAAGTCAGTCAATCAGGGGTGTTTACTTGTAAATCCCTCTCTCTCTCTCTTTTCTTGTGGCCACTTCCTCTTCCTCTTCCTTTCCTATGAAAGAAGTGTGGAGTGTCCCTATCCCCCCAAAAGTCGGTGCCTTTTGTTGGGAAGCTTATCAGCTACACCCATAGGTCTTCCTTTCCCTGTCAAAGAGATTTGGTGCAAGTCAATTCCTCCTAGGGTTGGGAAGCTTTTCTGGAAAGAATCAACACTAGTGATCTGCTTCAAAGAAAGAGACCCAAGACATGTTTATCTTCTCACTGGTGTATTCTCTATAAAGCTGTTGAAGGAAGGGTTAGGATCCATCATATGGATGGTTGATCCATGCTAGATGGTTGGGCGAAATTTCAAAAATTTCCTAATCCTTTCATGAATCGAATTCCTTATGTTTTGAAAAATTGCATTTTTCAGGATCGGTCTTGTATTGAACTGGACCATATTTGAAACCAACCAAAGAGAGAGATGTGTACCTGATATGGATACCACAAATGCATATCCCAAGGTGGAAGTTCACTTCCAAATTAGTCCTAAAACCAGCCTCCACTAAAAATGGCGCAGTGTATTCTTGAAGCCGGTTCAGCAACACAGTTTTCAGCAAAACTGCAATCCAACTGCTTGGATTGAACTGAGGAGGTGAGCACAAAATTCCTCTGAATTTTTCTTGCAAAAATCAGAAGAAAACTGATTTATATCAGTCTCAAAATAGCTGTGGTCGAACTAGGGTTTCTTGGAAGACAAAAGAAGAAGAGAGAGCAGAATTGAGAGGTGTTCTAGTCTAGTTCACCCTCTTCTTCTTTTATCTCTTTATGGAGCACTTCTCCTAATCAAATTAGGAGATTATCCAAATCTAATTTGGACATGGACTCTATTAATAGATAATCCTTATCCTCTTTAGAGGATGAGTGCTCCATACCCATTTCTAAACCTAGATTCGTCCCATGTCACATGACATGTGACAACTTAATTAATCATATTAATTATGGGCCTTAGGTCCATTATCTATAAGGCTCATGACCCAAGGGTGTTGCATGGCCAACTTAGGCCTGATTTGTATGGCGTGGGACCCCACAATGACCTCACATAAGCCCACATGGGTTCGGCCCAACCTCTGTGAAAAGGCCTGGCCAAATTCACTGCTAAACGCAGTGAACACCTGAGCACATCACTATGGGCTCAAAATGGGCCCACCATTTACACTTAAATGATCATTTAATCCAGTCATCCTATGAAGGCCCAAGGATAATGGACTTAAGTAAGATAAAGCCCATCAGGTAATCATCCTTGTAATGGTCTCTTACATTTAACCTCTCGGCCCATAATGATTAAATACTGCCCGGCAGGGAAGGACCTCTCCCCTGGCTACAAGGTGTAGTGTCACACTCTTTGCTGGGATGGATCCCGGGAATTAAAACCTTTTGCAAACATTTTTCCATAAAACACAGCTAAAATCCATTGTCGGCAGTCTAGGTTTCCATCAGAGAGAGTGTAAACCGTATCCTTCACTTTGTTCGACAAAGGGGCCGATCCTATCACTATGATCACCCACTTAAGTAAATTCTCAGACTGCCCCAACATACTCAGGATTTGACCCTCAATGGATCTCACTGATTGGCATATCAAAGACGGTCCAATCCGACACCTAGTACAGTACTATAATCAAGTACAGTACCATATCACAGACTGATTGGAGCTAAAGGCATACACTGTATAACAGATGAGGAGACTGGTTTTCACCCATTGTTTTCATGCCAGTTTGCAAAAACTATTTGGGAATGGGCATTTTCCCTTTTTGGGTGTAGCTGGACCCCCCTTTGAATTTGCAGAGCCTATTTTCTTCTTCCTTTTTCAGGTGGCATCTGAAAAAAGGTAAGACTATGTGGAGATGCCTAAGGGCTGCTGTATGCTGGTCATTGTGGGAAGAAAGGAACTCAAGGATTTTCTTTGAAAAAGAGAGAAGCATTGAAAGCCTGATAGATCTGATTCATGTAAGGGTGGTACAGTGGCTGAAATCTTAAGAGTTGTTCACAGGCTTTACGGTGCATGATCTGCTGAGAAAGTGGGGAAAGATTGCTAACTGTACCCAGGTCAAAACAGGTCTGAGTTTGTCTTGGACTCCTCCCCCCTCTGGTTTTATAAAACTGAACTTTGATGGTAATAGTAGAGGGAACCCTGGGCATTCAGGTATTGGGGGTGTGTTTAGGGATGCGAAAGGGACTGTTTCAGCCTTGTTCTCAGTCCCAATTGGGATGGGTGATTCTTTCAGAGCTGAGATCTCTGCAGTCATGGAAGGTGTCCAAAGAGCAAAGGAAATGAACATTAGGAGACTTGTAATTGAAGGGGATTTGAAGGTGGTAGTAGGGTGGCTGAAAGAAGACAAGACTGGGTTATGGAATTACAGCAATGAAAGGAAAATGTTCAGGTGGTTGGTTAAGGACATGGAAAATAATCTCAGCTGGGTGAAGAGATATGCTAACTCGTTTGCTGATGGGTTAGCTAAGCAAGGGGTGGTTAGGGAATCTATGTTCGGTGTCCAAAGAGCAAAGGAAATGAACATTAGGAGACTTGTAATTGAAGGGGATTTGAAGGTGGTAGTAGGGTGGCTGAAAGAAGACAAGACTGGGTTATGGAATTACAGCAATGAAAGGAAAATGTTCAGGTGGTTGGTTAAGGACATGGAAAATAATCTCAGCTGGGTGAAGAGATATGCTAACTCGTTTGCTGATGGGTTAGCTAAGCAAGGGGTGGTTAGGGAATCTATGTTCTGGGTTCAGTTGTAACTCTTGTTTTTTCTTTATGGGGGCTCTAGTCTCAGTTGGGGGAGTTAAGAAAGTTTATCTCCCCTTCTTTATGGGGGCTCTAGTCTCAATTGTTGTTTTTGATAAAAAAATGTTGCAAAAGATAAGACCAAATCGGATCTTGTCTCCCAAGTCCCAAATGGTGCATTTTGTGTTAAGTTGAATGGTGAGACTGCTTACCACCTCTTAATCTCCTGTCCCTTTGCTTGCTGTATTTATGTATGGTTTTATCATCTCTTTGGTTGCAGGTGGATCCCTCCTGTTAGTTTGGAAAGGCTCTTTAACCCATCTATTTTGAGGGGTACAGAGGGGAGAGGCAGAATCATGTGGAAATGTGCAGGGCAGCAGTAGTGTGGACAATTTGGGAGGAGAGGAACCTGAAAGTTTTTCATGAGAAGGAAAAGAACAAGTAGGCAATGATTGAGACTGTTACAAATAAGAGTAGCACATTGGGTGAAGACCTTGAAATTGTTTTCAGATTTTTCACTGGAAGACTTTTTCAGAAACTTGGGGTCAATTGCTCATTCCTCCTCTAGGAAACAAAAAACCCTTGAGGTGTGGTCTCCCCCAATGGGTGGGTGGTTGAAACTCAACTATATGGTTGTAGTTTGGGCAATCCAGACTTTCTGGAGTTGGGAGAATGATTTGGGATGAGGATGGAAACATTTTTGGATTGTTTTCAGGGCCAATTGATCAGGGTGATTCAGTGAGAGCAGAATTTGTGGCAGCTATTGTTGGAATGCAAAAAGTGAAGGAAATGGGAATCACAAGGCTGGCTGTGGAAGGAGAATCAATGAAAGTCTTTGGATGGCTGAAAAAGGGAGTAGTAGGAATGAATTCAGACGGTTCAAGTTGCTGTCAAGGCAGATATATATTCAAGCATGATGGGTTAGGTCTGCAGATGGTTAGGCAGATGAATTTGCTAAGCAAGGAGTACATAGACATCATTTGTATTGGGCCCAATTTTGACAGGATGATGGGATTCTTATTGTATTGGGTTTTAGTTCTAACAACCTCTTGTTGTAATTTCTTTCCCTTTTAATTTTAATAGAAATTCCGTGTTGCTAATAAAAAAATTCTCCCCAGGTAAGAGTGGAAATGGAGGGTTTAGATTGCCCTATGCTAAGTAGGGAAAAAGGCAGATTGGTTGGAGAAGCCTTCTGAGGCAGAAGAAACTATTGGAGGTAAGAATCCAACCCAACTTTGTTTAGGGATTGGCTTGTGAGTCCAACCTTACATTGTTAGGAGTTAACGTGTTATGTTCTCCTGTATCAAAAGCTAAACGGTTTATTTTAAGATATCAAAACATGAAAATTTGGGTGTGCTGAGGTCTTGCATATTTGTCTGGGTGTTGGGGATCTATAAGACTATAACTGCCTAGATGACTACACACTGCATGTATAATGGCTTAGGCAACATCTTGATTTCCATCTTCTACACTAGTTCAGTAGTCCTATCCCTTTATACACTAAAAAGCTAGTTTCCTGATACTACTCTGGGTAGTTTCTTTGTGTTTCTTTGTCACAAAATGGGCATAAATCTTGGTTTACTTCAGTCAGTTATACCTGCTTTACTGAATTTTAAGTAATATTTTCACTGATCTTCTTTTGTGTTGTTTCATTTTAATAATTTATATATATCATTTATTGGACTGCCTTGTGGTGACACAGATGTGGTTGGCAATTCACCACCAAGTGTTTTTATTTTGGTAGGTAAACTCTTTCAACTAGTTCATGATATGGTATTGGAGATTGAAGTGTTTGGATTAAAGGTTTGATGATGGAGTCTTAGGCTTTTATTTTGGTGATCTTTACCACTGGTGGGAAGAGTGAGTGGTGTTGTTTTTGGGGTCTGAAAATGGTAGGGGAGATGTGCTTTCCTTGCATTTTATCTTGTTTCCTGGGTGTTGAGCTGTTGTGTTGAGAAGAAAGTGGAGACCTGGAGTTTGTTTTGTTTATTTTTCCTTAGGATATTTTAGTAATGTCTCATTACCAGAGATCGTATCTTTCCTCTCTTAATGAATTATATTTTTACTATAAAAAGTTCATGATATGTATCACTGATTGGTAACATTCCATGAGTTTGATTGATCCTTTGTATTTGTAGAGACATAGCTTAGGGGAGGAAGGATTGAAGATGGTTCTACATTGTAGATTGTATCCAGAAATTAAGAATTGCTGGAAAGAAATAGGTGAGTTTTGTTTGTGGTTGCTTACATGCATTTTTCTTTTTGAAAAGGAAGCTTACTCCATTCAATCTTGAGTTTCAGGCTCCTTCATTTACTATTTTTGCTTCAGAAATTTGTCTGTTTCATCATTGCATGCAACTTATGGTTATTCTTTATCACCAAGGTTTAAAACGTTGATGTCGATGGAAATGTCGCTTACCAAAATATAGGACATATGTCGGAAATGTTGAGGGGAAATATTGTAAAAATTAGAGACATTGTGGAAATATTATGAAATATGTGGAAATATGCAATGATATTTTGTAAAATGATAAAAGAAGCATTAATACATATTTCTAGACTATTATCTTATTCCCAACATTATATAAAGCTA